TAAATAACCTCGGATGCCTGCAAGGAACTCTTAGGGCCAGACAGTCCCAGATATGGCGGCAAGGCTATGACTGTTTGTTGTAAACGAAGGAAGGACCACGACTTTCCGAAGGCCGGGATTTGGCAAATCAATACCAAATATTACACTGGCTTCGGAGAGCCTTGTGCCAAGAGTGAGGAAATGGCAGGTAAATCGAAGACGAAAACGGCAGCAATCACTTATATATTGTCTTCAAAGTCACCAATACATTAGATAAAGGAGACATAGCACCCAAAGCAGAATGGAATGTTACGAAGCTGGACACAGAACCACTAGCAGAAAAAGTTGAGAATGACATCGCTGCTATCCAAAACGATAAACAAACCTAAACGCAGCAGAAGGAGTACAGAAGCTCATTGACACAACCTCGCGACTCCTAAAAACCGTATGCCAGGCCTCCATGCCCAGAAAAAAAGGTGGAACAGCAAATGCTCAACTTACTGGTGGAACAAGGAAATTGCGGAATCGAAGTGCTTATGTTATAAACACATGCGCCTCTATGAAAGAGCCAGAGACAGATCAGAGGCTGGACAAAGATACTCCGAGTACCAGCTTACAAGAAAGACGATGTGAGCTGCTATTAAGAACAGCAAAAAGCAGTGCTAGCAGACTCTGTGCCAGGTAGTGAATAACGACCCCGGGGGCAGAGCATACCAGATAGTGATTAAAAAACTAGGGAGACTTGCACCAATTGCAAACAAAGACGTGGATACCATAAGGCAAATCGTGGATACGCTATTCTCGACGCATCCAGATCTCGAGATTCAAGCTAACTTGGAGCTCATAGAAGATGTACCTCTATTTACCCAGAAGAAACTGGAGCTATCAGCTGGATAGCTTAAAAATGAGAAAGCTCCAGGACCAGATGGTATATCGGCAGAAGTCATTAAGACAGTGGTGGCAAAACATCCACTGCTGCTTTTAAACCTATACAATCCATCTTTGAAGCAAGGGTTGTTCCCAACCCCCTGAAAAAACGCACGGCTGGTACTGATCGATAAAAGCAAGGGGGAGCCTAAATTTCCGTAATCATTCAGGCCGTCATGCATGCTGGATACGCCTGGAAAGTTAAACGAAAAGCTGCTTAAGGCCAGTCTTCTACAGGCCCTACAAATCGCGGGAGACTTACCCGACAGGCAGTACGGATTCAGAAAAGGAAGTTCTACCATAAGAGCAGTAGAAGAAGTAGTAAAAGCAGTTCAGAACACTCAAGACATATGCCATAAAGTGAGACCCTTCGTTTTTCTGGTGACCTTCGATGTAAAAAACGCTTTTAACTCAGCAAGATGAAAGGACATGCTTCACGCTCTGAAATACACATTCAGAACATTAGACTTTTTCTCGAGAGTACTGAGAGATTATTTTAAGAACCGCTTGTTGACCTACATAATAACAGAAAGCGAAACAAAGAAGAAAGTAACTGCAAGGGCATTTCAGGTGCCATTGTGGGAGCGTGAAGTGGTGTTATTGCTGTGATGCCCGGGGGGTTCAGGGATGGGTAGTGGCATGGCCTTGGGAGTGAGGCAACCATGGCGTTGCTGCATGGTGGTTGGTGTGCGGGATGGGAGCCTGCTTAAGTGCTTAAGCGCGTGCAGACTTCTTTAAACCGCTTCGCTCTATCTTCTATCTAACGACGAGTGGCTGTGGCCTGGCGGTCCATGCTTTTGGCGACCCATGCTCCAATTCCACTGCCCCCCCTTTTCTTTTTTTTTCTCGGGCTAAGCTTTCAAGGTGTGGTCATAGGACAGTTGGTGTGCAGTACGGTGACTTGCGTGGGTGCTTGAATGCGGGCAGGCTCCTGAGGACCGATTTGCTATATCACCTTTCTACTAATAAGTGGCTGTACCTTGGTGGCCTAGATCTTCGCCTCACGGACTTTGTGGTGGGTACGCTCCCTGTGTTGTCGATGGGGATGGCTGGTTTTAGGCCCACGCTTGAAAGCATCTGCTTATTATTCTACTTCATCCCTTCAAGTAAATAGAAAAAGGCAGCACGGATGCAAGACGGAAACTAGAAATACCTAGAGGACGCAAAAGTTACAAGACGCGTTGGTAAAGAAGCATTAAAGAAAGTCCGAACCAAGGATAAAGCCTCCTTAGACCCCCGCTTGAAGTGTTAATGCGAGAGCAAACTCTGAGTCGGGTGTCCCAAGAAACGTGGTCTTGCTTGTTTAGTGGGTGTGTTTATAACTAGTTCCACACAGATGAGGGCTTATACACCTTTCTATCGTGCCTAAAGGCATTTTGGACAGCCTTAAAAAAAAAAAAAAAAAGAAAAAATAGCGATCATAATTATGTGGATTATGATTACGATGATAATGGTAATAATAATAATAATGATGATGGTGATAATGATGATGATGATGATAATAATGATAATGATGATGATGATAATGATGATGATGATGATGACAATAATGACAATAATTATAATAATAATATAAAGATGATAATAATAATAAAAAAGTTATGTTTATAACGATGATGTGAAAGACATAAATAATAATAATAAAAATGATTACGATAATTATGATGAAAGTAATAAAAATAATGACAATGATAAAAAAATTGGTAATGCTAATGCTGATGATAATGATGATAATGATGATGATAATGATACTGTAAATAATAATATCAATTATGATATGTTAATGATAATAATGATAATGATGTATATAACAATGATAATGGTGATTATCATGCTAATGACAATAATGATAATGATGATGACAAAGGTAATAATGATAATGATGATAATCTTGTTACTGACAATAATCATGATGATAATGATGATGATAATGATGATGATGATGATGATGATGATGATGATGATGATAATGTTTATTATCATGATGACGATGGGAATAATCATAATGATGATGATGATAAAGAAAATGATAAAAACTCTTCTATAAATANATAATATTGATTATAATTATGATAATAATGACGAAGATAATAATGATGATGATGATAATAATGATGATGATAACGATAAAAATAATAATAAGAAACACTGTAAAAATAAAATTGATCATAGTGATAATGATGATAATAATATTGAAAATAGTCCTTATGATGAAAATTATAATAACGAGATCAATGATGATTACGATGTTGATGAGGATTATGTTGTTACTTATCATTATTATAATTATAATGATAATGATAGGAATGACAATAAAAATGACAATTACGATACTGGTAACAATAATATTGTGAGTGGTAACTATGATAATGACAATGATGATGACAATTATCTAAATGATGATAATGATAATATTGATAAAAATGATAACAATGATTTTTAAAGTTATGATTATGATATGAATAATAATGATGATCATAAAAATGATAATGACAGTGATAATAATTGTTAAAATGATTATGAAAATAATGGTGATAATGATAATGATGTTAATGTTTATAATCATATTGATTAGCATGATGATATAAATGGTGATAATAATAATAATGTTAATGGTCATAATAATAATGATAATGATAAATAGAATGATAATAATGTTGAAATTGATGATGATAATAAGAATGACAATGATGATGATGCTGATGATGATGATAAAGGTGATGATGATGATAATTATGATAATGATGATGATGGTGATGGCCTTGATTATGATGATGATGAGGATGATAATGATGATGATGATGATGATGATGGTGATGATGATCATGATGATGATAATAATGACGATTATAAGGATGATAATGAATATTATTATGATAATATTGATGATTATTATAATAAAGATAATGATAATGATAATAATAACAATGATGATAAGTATGATATTAATAATATTGATAGTGATAATAATAACGATAACAAGTAAAATAATGATAATTTTAATAATGATGATGATTATAAGGATAGTAATGTTAATGATCATATTGATGATAATGGTAATAATAATTATCATAATGATAGTAATATTTGTAATTATGATGATAATAATAACTACGATAATGATGATGCTAATAAATATCATAAGAAGGTTCACAATTGTTATCATTTTGGTTATGTTAAGGAATATTATTATGATGATGATTAAGACAATGATGTGAAGTTCATGTTGTTGGTGATGACGTTTATGAATTTTGGAATAAGTATGAATTTTATGATAATAATAATGAGGATTATGACGGTAACAACTATTTTAATGTTTATAGTAGTTTTGTTCATGCTGATGATGACAGTGGTGGTTGTTCTTATAATAGTTCTGAAGTTTGAGCCTTTTTTATTGATAAACTTGATTATTTAAACTGTCATAATAATTATGAGGTTTATTACATCGTGTTTAATGTTCAAGTTCTTACTGATTGTCATGATAGTATATTGGTATTTTGATTGTAAGGACAGGACTGTTGCATTTCTGTTTGTATTTTGGAAACATAAAGCTTCCATTTTGTGGCTTGTGGTTTTTTTTACTCTGATACTTAATGTTCATTAATTTTTTTTTTAATCTAAATTCAATTATTTTTAAACAAATATTCTTTTTACTTCAAAAAACTCACGTTTTAATTTTTTTTTTAAATTGTTAGACTTATAAATTAAAGTTTTATTTTTATTGAAAGTATATAAACTGTATTATAATAATATTGTTTCAAGCTTAAAGACGTTGTTGTAGTATTATTAGGATAACATGTCATTTTGTTGACAGTTCAGACATCTTTCCTCATGATAAACTCTGTGTGATATTATTTTTATGGTTTGCTGTAACACTTTAAATTACCTATAAATTAAATCTTAAATTTTCGTTTACTTGGATTATTATGTTTTGTCATTAACAAGAAAGACCATACTATACATCAATGATTTAGAAAGTTTTAGTGGTTGCTGTTTGTTCATTACCTTGTAGTTACAATCTGTTTTCTTAATTTATACGTCTTGTAGCTTAGCAGTCGTTGAAATAATATCATATTTAATTGGATTGTTTTTAGGTATGTCATTATGGCTTATTGGAAGAAGTGGATTTTTCTTATGTACAGCTACAGTTCTAGAAATGCTTCTTTTTTCTGCGCTCATAAGTGCAGTTGATCCTGTTGCTGTTCTTGCAGTTTTCGAAGAAATTCACGTGAACGAAGTGCTCTACATAGTTGTTTTTGGAGAAAGTCTTCTCAATGACGCGGTTACAGTGGTACGTATGCATACATACGGGCACGTTTATTTGTGTTCGTTTTTGCCTATACTTATTGCTGTAATTTATTTAGAATACTGTTGACTTGACAGCTTCTGATTAAGTAGGTCCTAACGTTTAGTAGGGTAACAAAATATTTTCTGAATATTACATTCGATTAATGGTATATAGAAACATACGATTAATTCTGGTATTTATGAGTTCCCAAACTTTAACTCAAATGTATAAGTCTTTAACGTATTGTTGAGTGTATTTATTCATTGCAAAATTAAGCTTGATGATACATTTTCTAACTAATCAGATTATAAAAACTTAATAAATGCATGCTTAGACACATGAAACACAGAACAAAAAAAATTTGTAATGAAACGTAGATGGAAAACGTTATACTAACTGAGTCTTGCCTAACATGATAATACCTATCTCACTAAGATTTTTTTACAAGATTATTATTAAATACACACATTATGTTAACTATAGCACATTTTTTATTTTACTGCAAGCATTAAATTTATACTTGGCACTAATATAAAAGGTAAAAAAAGATTATGAATCATAGGAAGAACATGTAAGGAACTTGTCTCGTTCTTGACCACTTGCTGAACTCTTTAGCATGACGTGCTAATGATCTTAGCCGTAGACAAACGCAACAGATACTTGCACTTTTACGCAGATATATAGTATGCAATGGCAAGATTGAGAGGTGGAAGATAGGATAATACCGGGAAGCCTACGTAGGCTTGTATTATTAAACTTTTTGAATTCGGTGTCTCTTTCTTGATCAGTCTATCGCAAGTATCAGTCGTATTCATCTACGGCAAATATCACTAGCACGCCATACTGAAGAGTTCAGAAAGTGGTAGAGAACGGAGTGAGTTTACTACCACTGTTTTTTTTCTTTTTTACCTCTATCTATTAGTACCAAGTATAAATTTATAAATTTTAGCAAAATTATACTTGTGACGTCGTATGCACTGTGTGTATTTAATGATAATAACGTTAAAAATTTTAATGGGCTTCGTAATATCATGCAAGACAAAACTAAGTGAGTATTAAATTCTCCATCTACGTTTTATTTAATAGATTACCATATTAAGAAATAGACACCAAAATTACTAAATGTGAAAATTGTTTTTCTGTCATAACTCAATGTTAGGTCATCCTAATTTATGTTTTTCAAGTTTTCAGTTTTTTTTTTTTTTTTTTTTTTAATCAAAGATATTATGGCCAGCAAGCTTAAAACTATACGAAAAATGTTTAATTGCTACTGTTTATCCTGCTTTTTGTAGCGTGTAACAAAATACGCTTATACCTTAATCAAACGTTACTATTATTAAATTCATTTCATAAGTTCTGGAACGTATTAAAACATATTCTTATACACATTTGTAAGCATAGATAGTATTCTCTTATTTATAGGAGAGCTTCTTATTAGTTCTTGAGTATGGTACTACATTTCCTTTCTGTTTAGTATCAATCATAGATGATTTGACCACTAAATACCAAAAAAAAAAATGTTTTCAATAGAAAGTGAAACTGTAGTATACATTAAGATACATAATAATTTAAAAAACGTATACCATTTTTGTACTGATACTAGTGCATTTTTTTAGCTAAGCGATGAATTTATAAAACGGAAATCATTCCAAATTTTCAAAAATTTTCGTGGTAAAACTCTACGTATTATGTTTATTTTTTTTCCAGGCTCGAGAACATAGATCATTTTAAATCAAAACCAACAAAATACACTATTATTACTGCATGAGAATCATTTTCTTATAACTGCTCTTTGTACTGTCAGAATCGTTACTTTAGCAGCTTAAAGAGGAGTTGTGTTTGTACTTGATACTTTCGTTATAAAAAAGTAGTCGTGCACACAGTAGCTGTACTTGAAAATAAATTGTAAATGTTAGTTTTTAAGCACTAATTTCTTAAAAAATCCTATTATTCTAAGCTTGTATTCTTTTTTAATACGTATTTATATTTTGTAAGCTTATGTTACACACTTATACTGTTGGTCCAGGGGATGAAATACTGCGTAACTATTATAGACCGATTCAACCGATGGCCGATGGCTATCCCACTGGCTGACATGAGAGCAGAGACTGTCCGGAAGGCCTTCCAAGACAACAACATCAGCTTGTTCGGCACCCCACTGTTAATAACATCAGGCAGGGGGGCACAGTTCGAATCCGAGTTGTTCAACAAACTGGCAAAATCCTTCGGAGCGAAACTCATGCATACTGTGGCCTACCCAATCAAACGGCATGGCAGCGTTGCGTTGTTCAAGCGGATGAATCGAGTTTCGTGAGGAGCCTACGACAGCTTTTTCGGCAAATTCGCCCAGTCCTGGCGTCTAGACATGCCACAAATCATCGTTTTGTCTTCAGGCACTTACAGACATGCACAGTCGTATTCAAAAGAGTGGACCGTATAAGAAAACCTTTGGAGCCGCCATATAAGGGCCCACACCGAGTAATCCGAAGGACAGACCAAAGGACAGTCATCATAGATTAAAATGGTCAAGAAAAAGTGGTATCAATTGACCAGCTGAAGCCAGTGAATTTAGAGTTGGAGGAGTTGACACATACTAAACAATTAGAAGCTAATGAGGAGCAGTCGTCGCTGCCCAACCACCTACAGGCACACAAGGAGAAGCAGCCGCTTTCAGCCCCAGCTGTTACTCAAGTCAAAAAGAGATCAGTGATTCCCCAGGGTATTCCTACAACTACCGAATCCGCTTCAGCTACGCATCTCAAGCCGAAGTGCCATATAACTTCACCAGCACAGGACGCGCTGGTCACTGGAGGGGGGATAGCTGTGGCAACGCCACCAGAGCCACCATCTTCGTGCCACCAACGTAAGCAGTAGCTGGTGCCTCGGTAGATGTTATGAGAAGTTCTATCTCTGTCAATCCTCTGTGGTAGGCGATCTGAGTGCCGCACTTGATCACTGCGGTACGGGGGACATCTGTTACCCTGTTACCACTCTTGGTCATTGGCGGGCTCATCGTGGCACCAGAACTGAGGAAGAGGAGACTACCAACTTTAGAAGAGTTCCCTTTCGGTCGCCAAGCAATCAACAGCTACCACACGAGGCCAAGGAAAAAGAAACAGCATGGTGAGAAAGTGTAAGACTTTGACTCTTAGTGCTGATATGCCTTTTTAATTGCGTATTTTAATTAGTATATTATCAATTGTGTTTTATGTGTGAGGCCTACAAAAATCGATTTTTATACGGAACCTTGTATTTTTACACATACATTATATTATACCAGTTTTAAGCAAGATGCTTGCCCTCATTTATCCTCCCTCTCACTCCTGCACAAGAAGACGACCGATATGTGGCGAAACATATACCATAAAACAGTTTTAATTTTTATAATTTATTGAATGACTCATAAGAAATTTCTTATCGTCAATGTAATAGAAAAAACTGTTTTATTACCATATTAAAGCTATTTGATTTCACAATTTTCTAAAAATAAAAAAAACTATCGTAAAGTATAGAATTATATCAGAATTATTTAAAAATACGAAAATTACCTAATTAGTCATTTTAGTTTTTATATCATTTTAGTTATTTTTAAAAATATTTTAATTTAAAAAAAAGTTTTTTATTACAATTATTAGTTATTAGTTATCGTACAGTATTTAATGTTCTTGTTGTGCAAAAAAAGGATAAGAATGATAGCTAAATGTTATCGGAAATCTCCTTTTTTCTGCTTATATTTATAGCAATACATCAACATAAAAGTTCTCATTATAAGTACACAGACAGTAACAGAATAAGTTGAACTAAACATTTTTAGATGACTTTATATAACAATAAGCTTATCATTTCTTAAGCTTGACCAGTAAATATTTCATACCATCTAATGAGACATTATATCTAACTATGAAAATAAGGTACCGAAAGCAATTCTTACACCCTCTTTCTGTCTCTAGTTAAAACATCGTTTAAGTCAATTGGTTTCCTTAATGTTACCTGTATATACATAACACTTCCTTTTTTGCATTCTTTGAACAACACATTACCAGTCACAAAACTCATATTTTTGTTTAAAAACTTAACTTCTCTTTTCTTAATCTTGGCACTTATCATCTAATTTTTTTGGTAAAAGAGCTTGCCAGAGGTTATTTCTCAAAACTAATAATATGTATAATAGAATACAACAGTGGAAAAAGCAGCTTCTGTCCTAAGGAAAATTAATGAATAAATTAGTAGACGTAGAGAGTTTTGTTATAGGGTTCGGTGCAAAAAACTTAATGACCTTTGAGATCTTATGTCTTGTTTTTGGTAACTTTTGTTTGTGTAGTATTGCTGTTACAATGACAAATTTAATGCCATGTTTTCATTGAATCTGTTTTTTTCTTACATTGGTTATGACCTTTTTCTAATGTATTGTACTCATGTTTATTTAATACAGCTTATTATTGCTTACTTGCTTTTTATTTTCAGGCTCCTCTGATTGGTGATCACTTTTTATACACCATTGTGTTATTGATTAAAGTTGTTTAATCAAATTCGTCAACGGTAAAAATAGAAATCGTATGCCTTGTACTTGGGTTATACTTTGTTGTATTAATTGGCTGTTTTTTTCTTCTTATTTTGGTAACTCTACAGCTGTGAGTGTTTTTTCTGATGCAATTTTTTTCTGTGTTGTTTTATCTTTGCTCGTGCTGCAGCATCTGATTATAGTTGCTTATGCTAGTGGCGTACTTTAGTGGTCTTGATTTTCGATTTGTGTTTTGGATAACAATCTATTACAATTTTTTATAGTCAGTCCTTTCAATAAATTTAAACTTGTGGAGTTATAGAAACAGCTGGTAATAATACACCTAGTTGTGACATCCCATGTCGTACACTTTATTTTTATCTCGTGAAAACACATAGTTTCGTCTTAAAATTATAAAAAAAGGGGATGCTCAGTGACCATCATACAACAAGCTGTATACCTCTGTAAATACGTAACGTATAACTAACTTCTTTTGAATCAA